TTGCCGATCTCCTCCACTCTTCCTACCACTCCATCCCCCACAACTTTTCCTCCTGTACCACATACCCCCCCCCCCTCCTAGACTGTAAGCTCCAAGGAGCAGGGTCCTCGACCCCTCGTGTATCGCATTGTATTGTTACTGTACTGTCGCATTTTCTGTCCCTCTTTGTAATGTACATCGCTGAGCAAACTATTGGCGCTTTATAAATACTGTATAATAATAAATAATGAAGATATAACTATCATAATAGTGTCAAAGCATCATAAATTCTTAGGATACATATACTGTATATGCAAGGTGAATTGCCATTTCCATGCGATACAAGAATTGACTACATCAAAGCATGCAAGTAGCATGTTTGAAGGTACTCAGGTGTAAGGACCCAGCGCTGCATTCATACCATTTAACTATGAGAGCATGAAGCCAGTATCATGACATGACTAGTAGTCAATAAATGAATAAGAAAAAACAAAGATACAGAACAAAAAGGATGGAAAGTGTTCCAGTTATAGAAGATCCAAAGGAGACCCCAAAAGCCCTATTGCTTCAGAAGCGAGCCTGCTTATTTACAAATTGGAGCCATGGGTTCCAGACTCTTTCAAGTTGCCTTTAATTGCCTTTAAGTGTGAAAGCAAGCTACTCATGCATCATAATCCAAGAAATGTCAGCTTTGATTAAACCTAAAGCTACATTAGGGATTTTTCAAAGTTTTAGCAACAGAAATGTTTTGCTACCAAAAGTATATAGAAGACCAACATTTGGGAACACCTAGGAATACCCCTTACAGGTTCTATAAGGAGCACTGAGGGTTCCCTGGTATCCTCATAAAAGTAAATAGCCCATTCTAAAACACTATGGAGCATATATGAAAGATCATTCCTTACGTGGTTACAACCATGAAAACAGAGAGAAAAGCAACCAGGAAATATTACAGATAAGGGAGAAAAGTAAATTTTGAACACAGAAGTCTGAATAGCTCACACGCCAGCGTTACTAATTCATCAATCAATTTTTGTCGATGTTCCAGGTCAGTGCATACTATAAAGACTAATCTCACCACATGAAATAAATATGTGGCTCAGGTGGAATTCACAGCAGGAGGGACATTTGGGAGGCTTCAAACAAAAGATTAATCAATATATTTTAACATTCGCAAATACCTAAAGTCATGCAAAACTGTAGGCACCCCTGGCCAAAATATATGCTTTATCGATTTTCTCAGTAGGAAAAAAAACAAACCAAAAGCTCAACAACCACCACAGCTAACAAACCTAACATGGCATGTTTCTGCACATGTTAGTATACAATTTCTGTTTATGTGCCAAATTTAATGGGGAATGAAAAAAGGCAAATAGAATAAAATAAAGTGGAATGTACAACAGATCACACAAAGACCCCCCCCCCCCCCCCATGTTGCAACTCTTGGAGAAAGCAGTTGGATTGTGGCCTAATTTTGCCCCCAATCTGACCCAACTCTGGGCTCCTTGCCTCCTGGCCCCATTGCTACCCTCCCCCCTACCCTCCTGTAGGATCCCCCACTTTAATTTTTTTTTCTATACTTACGTTTTTTAAAACGTTTGGGCCTTCATGTGATGCAAGTAGAATCCCTTTTGCCTCCGTTCTCGTTGCAGATGGCTATTAATGATGCAGAAAGCAACACTGGCATGATGATGTCAGGGCCATCCCCTAAACCATTCTATAGCCGTGGCCAAAAGGTTTGAGAATGACACAAATATTCATTTCCACAAAGTCTGCTGCCTCAGTGTTATTAGATCTTTTGTCAGGTGGTAATATGATATACTGAAGTATAATTACAAGCATTTCATAAGTAACAAGGGCTTTTATTGACAATTACATTAAGTTTATGCAAAGAGTCAATATTTGCAATGTTGTTCCAATGGTTGGAGTTTGTCAGAATTTGCAGGGTTTTTTTTTGTTCACTCAGCTCTTGAGGATTGACTGCAAGTTCTCAATGGGATTAAGGTCTGCTGAGTTTCCAGGCCATGGACCCAAAACATTGTTGTTCTGTTCCCCAAGATACTTAGTTATGACTTTTACCTTATGGCAAGGTGCTCCATCATGCTGGAAAAGGCATTGTTCCTCACCAAACAGTTCTTGGATGGTTGGGAGAAAGTTGCTCTCGGAGGTTTTTTTTTGTACTAATCTTCATTCATGGCTGTATTTTTAGGCAAAACTGTGAGTGAGCCCACTCCCTTGGCTGAGAAGCAACCCCACACATGATTAAGGACCTGGTTTTCTGCCTTGTTTATGTAATATTAGGTTTTATTTGCCAGAGTGTGAATTGTGCTTACGTAAGAGAAGAAGTTCTCTATGCAATAATAAAACTCAGACACATTTCAGTTGCACACTAATTGTGGAAATGTAGCGTCTTACCAGACTTACAGCTGTCCACAAGGTCATCTTCCAAAACCACAACCATAGATCGAGGAATACTGCCTACTGACAACCTCTGAACCTAAATCAGTAAATAGTATAAAACAAATACATGTTTATCTATCAGGTTTTATTAATACAATGCCATTATATTCAATAGTCTTACAGTAGTGTACACAGTAATGATACTGTATACTGCAATACATAATACTGACAAAAAGCAGACTCTACACCTGTAAATACATACAATTTAATAAAAATACAAGCAGTGATTCAAAAACAGTGGACACCCAACCCAAAGGGCCTGGTATGGATGGCAGGGGGGACACAGACGGGTGCCAGCTCCTAAACAACCAGCTCTGTTACTTTCCTACATTTGTTAACCACTTGCCTACCAGGTACTTATACCCCCTTCCTGCCCAGGCCAATTTTTAGCTTTCAGCGTTAATGCACTTTGAGTGACAATTGGTCATGCAACACTGCACCCATATTTGTATTATTTTTTTCACACAAATAGAGCTGGGTGTTTTATTTTTTGCACTATAAACAAAAAAGAGCAAAAACTTGATGGGCACTGACTGGCAGCACTGCTGGGCACAGGTTGGTGGCGCTGCTGGGCACCGATCATCAGTGCCCCTGATGATCGGTGCTGATCCCTCCTCTGACAATTGCCGGCAGTGCTTTCCTCACGCTGTGACAGCATGAGGAAAGTGCAGCCGATAACCGGCAACTGCATTTACCGGTGATCTGCTGTGTCACTGGACATGGCTGATCATGTGGTAAAAGGCCGCTGTGATTGGCCTTTTACCACATCACGTGAGCAGCTGTGTCCATAGGACACAGTGATCATGGAGATCGCCGGGGGCGTGCGCGGGAGGCGCATTCTTGGAGGACGTCATATAACGCCCTCCCAGAACTGGCTAGCTGCAGTAAAGCCGTCATTCTGCTATCTGCTGTCTGCAAGTGGTTAAATAGCGTATGGCTAGACCACAACTTATTTAAAACCCTTACAAATACCCAGTGAAGACACTGGCTTTCAGTCCTGGCCTTGCGTTAAACAGATGAAACAAATCCCCCTAAATAAGTTGTACCTGTTTATCTTCAGTATTCTCTTTTCTACATCTGTTCAAGCTGCCAGAAAACAGGGGGCGGAAAGCTGATGCTACACACTGCAGAGCTCAGTGAGGAGAGCTCTGAAAGCTAATTGGAGGGAAAGGACACACCCTCCATCTCGATACCTAATAGCAGTCAGGGTGCGATTGTCTAGCCTGTAGAGATCTGTGCTCCGTGGATATGCTTCCCCAGACCATCACTGACCCACCACCATAATGGTCATGCTGAACGATATTACAGGCAGCATAATATTCTCCACAGCTTCTCCAGACCTTTTCATGTCTGTCACATGTGTCACAGGTGAACCTGATCTCATTTGTAAAAAGCACAGGGCACCAGTGGCGGACCTACCAATTCTGGTGTTCAGTTGCAAATGCCAATCGAGCCCTATGGTGCCGAGCAGTGAGCACAGGGCCCACTAGAGGACGTCAGGCCCTCAGGCCACCCTATCTATTACTGATTGTTTGGTCAGAGGCATTCACACCAGTGGCGTGCCAGAGGTAATTTTGTAGGGCTCTGGCAATGCTCATCCTGTTCCTCCTTGCGCAAAGAAGCAGATACCGGTCCTGCTGAAGGACCTTCTACGGGCTCGGTCCAGCTCTCCTCGAGTAACTGCCTGTCTCCCAGAATCTCCTCCATGCTCTTGAGACTGTGCTGGGAGACACAGCAAGCCAGTAGTGACAATGGCCCTGGCCAAATGCAAAACGGTCAGAAAGGATAAGTAGGGAAAAAATGTCAGTGGCCTCCACTTGTAAAACCATTCCTGTTTTGGGGGTCATCTCATTGTTGCCCTTCTAGTGCACCTGTTGTTAATTTCATTAACACCAAAGCAGCTGAAACTGATTAACAACTCCCTCTGCTACTTAACTGACCAGATCAATATCCCAGGAGTTTAATTGACTTGATGCTATACTCTGATTAAAAAGTGTTCCTTTAATTTTTTTGAGCAGTGTATTTTGTCAATGTCTCTAAACAATTTGGCTGTGAGAGAGATGTGTGTATTATGCAGAAAGTAGAGAAGTTTGGACATGGGGACCATTTTAATAAGGTTCGAACAGCCCATTGTTGACAGTGGAAGTTTAGACGAGGTTTTGACTCTATAATTTTCATGAGCAAAGGGGCCAGATTTAGGGTCTCATAGCTGCCAACAGAGCAAGAAATTTGTATGCCCAGGTATTTGAAGGAGTCTGCAAGCTGAAGCAGGCAGGAAGTGCTTCCTGACTTCAGTTTCAATGTCATTTTATAGCATCACTGGAAAGCAGAGTAGTATTCAACAATATAGAAAATGCCATGTTATATTAATTTGAAATGTATTCAGATATCTTCACTAAGCACATCGCTTATGTCATGAGTCAACATATACTGTACATATAAAGAGCAATCACCTGTTCCTGGATCTTAATCTCCTGGTAGTCTCTACAAGTGGCCGGAGAGGACACATCAGACAGACAGGTAAATTTAGTGGAGGTGCAGCCTTCTTCAAAATTGGTGCAAGCAGTTGGAGGAGTGAATGAGTAATATTGCTCAAAATCAGCTTTTACTGTAATTACATGCTTACACTTGTTGCACATAAAGTCTTGTTCATACTCCAGAACTTTCACTAGACTGCTGCGAATAACTGTGCCGTTAATGGACAAGAAATGACCCACATCTCTTGCACGTGGGATATGCTCTCTGGTTAACTCTGGACACACTGGCAAACCTGCGTGCACAAATAAAAAAGGATGTTAACAACATAAAAAAAAAAATCATTTTGATACAATTTACCCTATAAAAAGAACCTATGTGCAGCACAAGTTCTCCGTCTGAAAATGCTAGTTGCCTGGTTATTATGCGGAATCACTGACTTTCATACTTTATTTGGTCCTGACCCGAAAACAAGAATGTAAATCAATAAAGTCAGAAGTTCATATATGCATACTTGTTCTGGGGCAGTGACTCAACATACTGACGACAGAAGGTCAACATTATAGCCATCCTATTAGTCCAACAATGCTGCCGCTAATTGCAAGCCAGTAGCTAATCATTACCAGCCCTGTAACAAGAAGTGCGGTTACTGACAAGGAGACATGATGCCAAGCATACCTAAGAAATTGATTTGAGGTTTACATACAATTTAAATCTGTAGCACTACTACAAGATCTTCATTGATGAAGAACTACATTTAAAATAAAGGTAAGCTATTGGAGCAAGTTTGCTTTTTTCACATATAAACGTTCTACAGTATGTTCACACTTTCATTTTTATAACACCAAGATAATAATAGCAATACAAACGATACTTATTATTGACTATCCCATATAAGCTTTTTGAAAAATCTTTTAGCCTGGGTTCACATCGATGCGGTGCAGAATTCGCAGCAGTTTCTGTGCGAATTCCGCACTGCAACATAATCGCACCCCGTTCTTGTAAACCGCTGCGGGTGTATATGTTAACACCTCAAAATCGGTCCGCAAAACTCGGTGCCATGTGCAGAATCGGATCGCATGGGTGTGAATAACCACGTGATCAAATTCTAGTGTGGACCAAAAAAAGAATCCTGCACCTTTTTGGTGCGAATGCGATGCGATTTGAGCCATACATAATGTATAGCTCAAATAGCACTGCACAGAATTTGCATGTGGTTTGCGGTGTGGTTCCTGTGCGAATCACATGCGGTATGCCGCACCGCACAAGTGTGAACCCAGGATAAATGTTGTGGGTTCTGTTTGCTGGCTACCTCTTTCCACAGTTCCTTGGATTTCCTGTGTGCTTTGCAGCTTTTCCTCTGTTAACTTTCAATTACTAAGGACTACATACAGTGAGGAACAGAGGTATTTGAACACCCTGCGATTTTGCAAGTTCTCCCACTTAGAAATCATGGAGGGGTCTGAAATTCACATTGTAGGTGCATTCCCACTCTGAGAGACAGAATAAAAAAAAAAAAAAATTCAGGAAATCACATTGTATGATTTTTTAAAGAATTTGTCTTACACTGCAGAACATAAGTATTTGAACGCCTAAGAAACTGCAAGATTTCTGGCTCTCAAAGACCTGTTACTGTGTCTTTAAAAAGTCCACCTCTACTCCACTCATTAATCTAACTTAGTAGCACCTGTCTGAGCTCTATAAAGACACCTGTCCACCCCACAGTCAGTCAGACGCCAACTACTACCACAGGCAAGACCAAAGAGCTGTCAAAAGACACCAGAGACAAAATTGTGGACCTCCACAAGGCTGGAAAGGGCTACGAGGCAATTGCCAAGCAGCTTGGTGAAAATAGATCAACTGTTGGAGCAATTGTTAGAAAATGGAAGAGGCTAAAGACGACTGTCGGTCTCCCTCGGACTGGGGCTCCATGCAAGATCTCACCTCATGGGGTATCACTGATGATAAGAAAGGTGAGGAATCAGCCCAGAACTACAAGGGAGGAGCTCGTCAATGACATGAAGAGACCACAGTTTCAAAGGTCACTGTCGCTAGAACACTACGCTGTCATGGTTTCAAATCATGCATTGCACGGAAGTTTCCCCTGCTCAAGTCATCACATGTCCAGGCCCGTCTGAAGTTTGCCAATGACCATCTGGATGATCCAGAGGAGACATGTGAGAAAGCCATGTGGTCAAATGAGACCAAAGTAGAACTTTTTGGTCTAAACTTCACTCGTTGTGTTTCGAGGAAAAAGAAGGATGAGTTGCATCCCAAGAACACCATCCCTACTGTGAAGCATGGGGGTGGTAACATCATGCTTTGGTGGTGCTTTTCTGCGAAGGGGACAGGACGACTGCACTGTATTAAGGAGAGGACGAATGGGGCCATTTATTGCGAGATTTTGAGCAACAACCTCCTTCCCTCAGTCAGAGCATTGAAGATGGGTCGTGGCTGGGTCTTCCAAAATGACAACGACCCGAAGCACACAGCCAGGATAACCAAGGAGTGGCTCCGTTAGAAGCATATCAAGGTTCTGGAGTGGCCTAGCCAGTCTCCAGACCTAAATCCAATAGAACATCTTTGGAGGGAGCTGAAACTCCATGTTGCTTAGCGACAGCCCCGAAACCTGACAGATCTAGAAGAGATCTGTGTGGAGGAGTGGGCCAAAATCCCTGTTGCAGTGTGTGCAAACCTGGTCAAGAACTACAGGAAACATTTGACCTCTGTAATTGCAAACAAAGGCTTCTGTACCAAATATTAACACTGATTTTCTCAGGTGTTCAAATACTTATGTTCAGCAGTGCAATAAATTCTATAAAATAAAATCATACAATATGATTTCCTGAATTTTTTTTTTTAATTCTGTCTCTCAGATTGGGAATGCACCTACAATGTGAATTTCAGACCCCTCCATGATTTCTAAGTGGGAGAACTTGCAAAATCGCAGGGTGTTCAAATACTTCTGTTCTTCACTGTATTCCATGGTTCCTTACTGTCTGCAAGCAGGGATTCTTGTACTGACTCTGCCTCATGAAACTCCTCTCAGAACCTCTGTAGTTCAGAAGACAGGCTCTGCGAAATGTGTAACACAGCAGTGCTACTCACAGGGCACAGTGATTATGTGTCACAGAATTCAAGCAGTAAATATGTGGGATTCTTAAACAAAGTAAGCTTACAAATGTCAAGATCATTCAGATTAACCGCTTCCCAACCGCCCTATAGCAGAAATACTGTTACAAGACGGCACAGGTGCGCAAAATCACATATGTATACGTGATTTTACATTTCCGGGTAGGGGTGTGCGCGAGCTCTAGCCGAGCCACCATTCGCAGCTGCGGATGTCAATCACTGGGTCCCAGCCTGTGAGAACTCGCTGGGGCCCAGTGATTACCGAGGATCTCCTTTGCTAACAGTTTTCCTCCCTATCAGCTCGGGCACACTGCACAGCACTGCCATCCAAAGCAATGTGCTTACAGTGAAGCACACAGACACCACCTCCTAGTAAAACACTCCCTGCACACAGTTGATCACCGCTCATGATAACCCCTTCCTGCCCAGTGCCATTAGTACAGTGTCAGTACTTTTTTTTTTTAGCACTGATCACTGTATTGGTGTCACTGGGGATGTCAGTGACACAAAGTCAGTTCCCCCCTAGGTGTCAGAATGTCCGCCGCAGTCCCGCTATAAGTCGCTGATCGCCGCCATTACTAGTAAGAATAAAAAAATCCCAGTATATATACCACCATTTGTAAACTTCTATAACTCCATTTCTATAACTTTCACGTAAACCAATTAATTTACACGTATTGGGATTTTTTTTTTTTTTTTTTAGCAAAGACATGTAGCAGAATACATTTTGGCCTAAATTTATGACGAAATTTGATTTTTTTTTAAAATTTTTTGACTGGACATGTTTAATAGCAAAAAGTCAAAAATATTGTTTTTTTTCTCAAAATTGTCGGACTTTTTTTTTTCATAGCGCAAAAAATAAATAACGCACAGGTGATCAAACACCACCAAAAGAAAGGTCAATTTGTGGGGAAAGATGTAAATTTCATTTGGGTGCAGCGTCGCATGACCACGTAATTGTCAGTTAAAGTAACACAGCGCCGGAACACAAAAAATGGCCTGATTAGGAAGGGGGGGGGGGGGGTAAATCCTCAGGACAGTCACATGATCGGGAAAGGTACCAATCGAAAGAGGAGATCAGGACCTTTCCATGAGTACCAGACATTTGTGCTGGGAGCGTGCAGAGTGCGCGCTCTCAGCACATATGTTCTTTTTAATTGCACACAAATGTGGCCCAGACGCCGGGAGGCCCCACATTTGTGTGCGGCCAGCGTGAAGAGGTTAAATAACGCTATAAAAAGCCTAATAAAATATGAACATACAGTATGCATGCCATTAACATACAGTCATTGTTGCCTCCCCTCATTTTAAAGGGGGGGGGGGGGCTACTTGTCCAAAACAGACTATACAAGCAAACCTCAAAGATAGATGAAGATGGCAGGAAATGAACGCACCACAAGCACCTTGAAATAACAAAACAAATATGTTTTTATTATAAATATCAAAGTTTAAAAAACATTTTGTATTCACAGCTATTGCCCGACTACTATTATATTATGCTAATGAACCCAACACCATTTTTGCATGAACGTCTATGAGATGCGACTGTATCAGTGGCCATTATCGGCAAAATGCCGATAACACTATATTTGGCATATATGTTTCGGCCGCTGATATATTGGTGCATATCTAGCTACTGCCACAAGTAACCTACGTAACTAAATCCAGAGTACACAGTTTAGCCATTTGAATCAATAAGGAAACTGAATCCAGGGAAGCCTTGCTGCTCCCAGCACCTGAAAGAGGCACAAAGAAAGGATAGTGCACTGGCTCCTAGTGCAGTAACCTTTATTAAATGGATAAAAAACAAGTAGATGTGCACTTACAATTGTAGGCATGTATTAGGCATATCATGATGCCAATTCATTGGCATCATGCTGCACACATACCTCCCCCTGATCTGTTCGTGTAACAGGTCAGCTGTCGGCTTCCATGTCAACTGCACCATGGACCCACACTCACTCACTTTTGGAACTCAAGCTCACAGCAGGGCAGAGGAGCGCTCCCAGCGGGCCAACAGCTGACGCTGTATCTGGCACTACATGGATGGGAGAATCAGCAGAGGATCAGCAATGGGTGGATAGACTGCCAGTTGAGTGATACACTGTTGCTATGACAATGCATTTCAGGGGGCAGAGCCTCCTTTATCAAGTCCATAAGGTAACACAGTACTAGCTTTTAAATAGCCTGACTCATGCTGGAAAAAATTAGATAACTCTCCAGTGACCAACAGACTCATGGTCTAGATCAGCAAGGGGCAAACTACGGCCCGCGGGCTGTATACGGCCCGGCGGACCTTTTAATCCGGCCCGCAGAGCGTGATACATTGGCTGTCAGGATGTGTGTAGGCGGGGCAGCGTGACGAACGTGAGGGGAGCTAGGCTCCTCTCACAGTCCGCCCTGAAGACCGGAACGGCGCGGGAACACGACGAGAGGAACGCGCGGAGCAAAGGTAAGTGAATTGACACAGGGGGGACTTGGCTTACTACTTGGGGGGGGGGGAATAGTACTGTAGGGGATGAAATACTATGAGGGATGAATTAATATGGGGGATGAATTACTATAGGGGGGATGAATTACTATATGGGGGATGAATTACTATGGGGGATGAATTACTATATGGGGGATTAATTACTATGCTTACTATGGGGGAATATTACTATACTTACTATGGATGACACATACACATCATTCATTCTCTTGGTCACTCTTGGTCCCCGGGTCCAATATATGAACCCATTGCGGCCCTCAAGTCAAAATGTTTGCCCACCCCTGGTCTAGATGCAGATGACCATAGCAATTTCTCCTACATACTTATAATTAAAAATTAATATATATATATATATATATATATATATATATATATATATATATATATATATATATATATATATATATCTGTAAAACTCAATTATCAACATGCTCACATATAATTATCTAAAAATATTAAATTATAAATGATAAATACAAAAAAATACAAAAACGATCATATAGATCTGAGTCTGAGTTATTGTGGATTGCAATTTGAAGGGCTTATCAACTCTGGTAACAAGGACTATGATCAGCACAAGAAAATAAAACAAAGTATCTAACAAGTATATAAGTATAAATAAACTACAGAAGTTAATAAGTAACAATTTTAACACCCACACTCTCAGAACTCAGGGAAAAGTGTATTGGACTCACAGGATCCTATTAATTTAGGCCTAGCGAGAGATATTAACCGCTTACCCGCCACCGTATAGCAGATATACTGCTACACGGCAGCACGGGTGCGCAAAATCACGTATATATATGTGATCTTGCATTTCCAGGGAGGAGGTGCGCGCGAGCCCTACCCGCTCTGCCATTCGCAGCAGTGGATGTCAATCACCGGGTCCCTACCGGTGATTACCGACAATCACTGACAACAGGGATCAGTTTTCCTTCCTGTCAGCTCGGGCACACATTCCAATCAGTGCACTTACAGTGCAGCACACAGCCCCTGCCCCCTAGTAAAACACTCCCTACACACAGTTAACTCTTTGATCGCCCCTCACATTAACCCTTTCCTGTCCAGTGTCATTAGTACAGTGCTGTTTCTTAGCACTGATCACTGTATTGGTGTCACTGGGGATGTCAGTGACACCAAGTTAGTTCCCCCCCCAGTGTCAGAATGCCCGCCGCAGTCCCGCTAAAAGTCGCTGATTGCTGCCATTACTAGTAGGAATGAAAAATAAAAATCCCAGTATCTATACAGCCATTTGAAAACGCTATAACTTTCACGTAAACCAATTAATTTACACGTATTGGGATTTTTTTAAGCAAAGACATGTTGCAGAATACATTTTGGCCTAAATTTGATTTTTTAAAATTTTTTTACTGGACATGTTTAATAGCAAAAAGTTCAAAATATTTTTTTGTTTCGCAAAATTGTCAGTCTTTTTTTGCTTATAGCGGAAAAAAAAAAACAAAAAAAAAAAAAAAAAAAAAAAAAACGCACAGGTGATCAAATACCACCGAAAGAAAGCTCAATTCATAGGGGAAAAAAAAGGAAGTAAATTTCATCTGGGCGCGGCCTTGCATGGCCGCGCAATTGTCAGTTAAAATAACAGTGCCAAAGCGCAAAAAATGGCCTGGTCAGGAAGGGGGGGGGGGGGTAAATCCTCTGGAGAACAAGTGGTTAAAAAGTGTTAAACACCCTGTTTACCTTGCATTCACTATATCTGGTCTCCCACACTACACAGAACATGGAAAAGCAATTATTTTAGTAAATATAAACTGCTAAATACCTTTTCTTATCAGCAGTATATAGCAGTCTTGTGACTTCAATGAGTGTCCAGCTGAGCACTGGTTAAAGCTTGTAGGAGGAGTTTTCTACAAGATTAAACACGTCAAACCTTAAATTTGTGTGCGCCTGTGAAATGATGACAAAGTTCAGTACCCTATACTCTCTATAGGCGATGCTTCAAAAGCCCCTAAAGGTTATCAGTTTAGTGTTAAGGAGGAGGTCTTGTGGTAGAATTATAGAATTATTGCTCTCACTCCAGCATGCGTGGCAGTATATAGCATGCATATAGCAATCAACATTTTCACGCGTAGCCCCCCCCCTAAACACATAGTATGCATTCAGGTACAAAAATTAAAAAGTTTGACTTTAGAAAAATGCTTTGAATTTCTTTTTCACTTACAACAATGGCACAGTATTCCCCCTCCAATCCCCCTTTCCTGTCCAGAAATTTGCCCAGGGTCACAAAGCAGACAACCATTACAATACTTCAAGAATATTTTACCTTTAGTGAAACATCACACTTTTAAAGAGTTACCTATAATGCATCTTTCCATTATTAATAATGGGACTGATATTGTGACTACAGAAGAGAAAGGACTCTCACTCATTATTGACATTAAAGTATTTCAGCAAGTGCATTGAAATAGCCTATCACAGCATTTACAAAACAAAAGCAGGCAAGGATTTGCAATAAACTTTGTTAAAATTCTTGCAACACATAAGCAACAAAGGGATATTGCAAACAAAACGGAATCCAAGATAAAATATAAGCTTAGAGGTCTTAAAATGTCAGTGCACCAAAACTGAGATTTTTGAGTTCTGGGACTCCGCTTGAAACATATCTGCAGTTGACTTACCAGTTACACATCTGCTTCACGCAATAGCTCTGTTAGTTTTGTCATCAGTGTAATGAGAATGAAGACTCCATGGTACAGGAAGCAGAGCCAGGAAATGTGGCAGGGAAACCTCCCCAAAACCCAATGTGAAAGAATCCATTTATTTTAATTTATCCAAAACAAAACAAATATCAATTTGGGTAAACTACACATACCTGCTATTCTTGCATGTAGGTTTTGCTTCATAATAAACCTGTCATGTTGTGAGTTGGACTGTATGAGACTCATGGTTGCTCGTCGCAAGGCATTATCAAACACTGGTAGAATCTCATTAGGGAAAGCATTGAAATAGTCTCCGACTTCCATGTTTGTTTCAAAGAGTGTCATAGCATTAACAACTATTGAGTAGTGGGAATCCTCATCATTTTCCATCAGTATACTTAGTATGTCCTTTTGATGATGCTGCAGTACATAGGACTCAAACACTTGGCCAATCAGGGCTACTTGTTCAGAATTCAGGTACATATCTAAAGTCAGTGGGTACTGTATAATGAAAAAAAAAAAAGAAGAAAAAGAGGTAAAACACAGCATAAGTACGGCACTTTGTTTTATGTAACACATGACAGTGCTGCATTAAAAGAAAAGCTCACCTTTTCTAAAATAATAATAAATGCACATCTTTTGCAGGTGAAAAAAAAAAAAAAAAATGTGCCTTTATTTTTATTTTACACTGGAGCCTGTCAAGGATTGCACCCATGATTAGCAGATCGTTGGTACATTGTCTGCCTGTAACTCCCATATGGGCAGGCAGTTACTGAATTGCAGGAAGAATCAATGAAGTACAAGAGCTCTCACTAGCACCCTCGCAGTTAATGGAGAACTACATCCGTCGGCCATGGTGACTAACGGTACTTTTAGTTCATTCATTCATGTAGTAAATGAATGTTTTGGTCATCCTGTTTTCAAATTGTGACAGTGGGTGCGTTGAGAAGATCCCCTACCTGCTGTAACAAGGAGGGGGGGATTGGGGGGGGAGAACAGGCTGAAGCTGGAACATTTTACATGCTCCACCCTAAATACGGGTGGAACATGTAACATGTTCCAAAGGTGAACTAAAGGCTTTTTTTTTTTTTTTTTTATATTATATTTTGTTAAGAACATAAGTTTTGTAAGAACAGATATGTGGGCGTGTGTTCGGAGTATGTATGTGTGGTTGTGTTGAGAAATGTTTCTTCAATTCTTAGATTGTAAGCTCCAAGGAGCAGGGTGCTCCTAACCCTCATGTATTAAACTGTATTGTCTCCCGTTATATTGTAAAGCGCTGAGCAAACTGTTGGCGCTATATAAATCCTGTATAATAATAATAATAATATAAGCTGTGCATGGTAGCCAATCAGCTTCTAACCTCAGCTTGCTCAATTAAAGTGGTTGTAAAGGTTCAAGGTTTTTTTTACTTTCATGTATTCTATGCATGAAGATAAAAAAACTTTCTGTGTGTAGCACTGCCCCAAGCCCCCTCAATACTTACCTAAGCCTCATTGCGATCCAGCGATGTGAACGACAACCTCGGCTGTCCTGGGTCTCTGCCTCTTCGTTGGCTGAGACAGCAAGTGGGAGCCATTGGCTACCACTGCTGTCAATCACAGCCATTGAGAGGGGCGGGCCAAGCTACAGCTCCATGTGTGAATGGACACAGAGCAGCGGCTTGGAAACATACCTGCTTGGGTGCCCCCCATAGCAAGCTGCTTGCTAAGGGGGCACTTGACAGGAGGGAGGGGCCAGGAGAGCCTGCGGGGTACCTGAGAAGAGGAGGATCCAGGCTGCTCTGTGCAAAACCACTGCACACAACAGGTAAGTATAGCATAGTTTATTTTCCACAAAAAAAAAACAACCTTTAGAATTTCTTTAGGCTTTGACCAAAAAAACCTGGCAGCCGATTGCTTTCTTTGCAAAACTGCAGCAGATTTTGCACTCTCCGGTTTTAGTAAATCATCCCCCAGTACGTCCTCATTCTTTTGGGTAGAGTGACCCTTGGCATCATTCAACCCAGAAGACTGATGACATCTTGTAGGCAAAAAGAGGTACTGGGAGGGGGCAGCTCTAAATTAGAGAATAGTGAAGACTAAGATGTAGTTTTAAAAGCGGTCTGGGGGCCCCATTTGCATGAAAAAAATAGGTCTGAAAACTGGAAATCTGTGAGAACTGAACCATAGACGTGGTCAATGCAGATTTGCTTGTTTTCTTTTCAATTCTCTCAAATTGCCATGCAGCTATTCACCCTATATGCTCCCCATTTAGACCTGTCATCACTGTACCTGGCAAGTGGATGCCTTCCTTCTGTCACCTGACCAAACACAGAGAAGCTAAGGAAGCCAATGATGGGAAAAGTGCATTACAGTACCGGGACAGGGTCGTCCAGTGCCCATGGCAAGGATCCACAATTGTGCCCCTCCCCCACTGTTGATGCATGCTATACCACCCTGCACCTATTATTTCCCCTCTTGCTTCTCTGTCCCCCATCATAATAACCCATATCCTGTGGAATGCTCCCCTATACCATGGCTACCAATGACTGGGGCACCATGGCACACTTCAAGTACACAGAAGCCTGTCCCACACAACAAACAGCTGCTTGTGTTTGCAGACAAGGCTCCCAGTCCACCCCTCAGTCACTACTTAAGGTTTCCCTTGGGCTCTATGAATCCCATCATACGTAGGTCATACAACTACATGCAATTCCACTTTAAATGTGGGGCTCTTGCTATATTGCATTAACATTGCTACAAGCACACCCAACTGCAGTGTATAAGCGACCACAATTCAACTGACGAGCGACTTTTATGTGTTGCTAGCTCTTACCCAGCAAATCGAGTCCCAATACACACACACCAACTAAGTCCATACCAGGCGCGCTATTCTACCACGCCTGCGCACTATGGCTGCGCTTCAAGCCTCGTTCCTGAGCAGCGTGACCGTGTGAGGGATATGTGTGCTTCTGATAGGTTGATGTCGGCTCGTTCTTATTCATTAGAGGGGCCAGGAAGTGCAGGGATAGGAAAAGAGCTGAGCGGACTTAGAGCCAGGGGAAACTGAACATTCACCTTAGTCTGTGGGGGTGCTGGGAAATGGAGTGCTGGATAACGGGGGGCAGCGTTAGGGTGAAAAAAAAAGATAGGTAATAGGAAGTGCAAGGTGAAGAAAATAGGTAATAGTAGGTGCAGGGTCAGGGTGGCATGGGGGTGCTGGTTGAGGGAGCCGGGTAACGGGTGCTGTGTCAGAATTACAAGGTGAAATTGGGGTGCGGGAACTGATTACCAGGGGGTGCTGTGTCACGGTTCCGGGTTAATGTAGAGCTGGGTGAAGGAACTTGGTAACAGAGGTTCTGTGTCAGGTACAAGGTAACATGGGGGTGGTGGGTGAGTACCAGGGACGGACTGACAACTCATGGGGCCCCCGGGCAATAGGGGATCATGGGGCCCCTGTGTCCTTGCCCTAACTCAAAAAAGCCTATGGAAACGGTACCAGGGGCATCTCTTGGGGCCCCCTACTGACCCCGTGCCCTCGGGCAGTGCCCGAGTTTCCAAATGGTCAGTCTGCCCCTGGTGAGTACAGTATAAGCCCTGGTTTACACTGATGCATGCGGAATTCTGCACCACATCATGCAAACCGCTGCAGGTGGGTATGTTAACAACACCCCAAAGGCAGTCTGCTGTGCAGAATCGGATCGCATAGGTGTGAATATCCATGCAATCCGATTCTAGTGCGGACCAAAGAAAGGGCCCTGCACGTTATTGGTGCGGTGCAATTAGAGCCATACAAAATGTATGGCTCCAATCGCACCGCACACAAATCACGTGATTTGCACAGGAATGCGGTGCGGTTCCTGTGCGAATCATGATCTACCGTACCGCATATATGTGAACCCAGGCTGAGGGTCGCAGGGTGACTTGGGGCTGCTAGTTGACAGAGATGGATAATAGAAGGCTACAGGTCAGACTGGCGTGGGGAGGGGGTGCAGTGGCAGAGTTTACTTCAAGTCCGGAAGTAACTTTCACCCCCTTCCTGTCCAGGCCAAATTTCAGCTTTCAGCGCTATCACACTTTTAATGACAATTGCAACACTGTACCCATATGAATTTTTTTGAGACAGATAAAGCTTTATTTTGGTGGTATTTATTCACCACTGGGATTTTTTTTTTTTTGCTATATAAATGAAAAAGTACAAACATTTTTAAAAAAGTGTTTTTCTTATAAAATTTTGCAAATAAATAATATTTTATAATAAATCTTGGCCAAAATTTGTTCAGTTATCTTTTTAGTAAAGGAAAAATAACCCAAATTAGTTTATAACCAAAAATTATAATTTAAAATTTTTTTTTTTTACATTTTTATTTTTTTATATTATTGGTTTTTTTTACATATTGTCACACTAGCAGTACAGTGTCCATGGTGACACTGTACTACTTGCGGGTGATGAAGATTTTTTTTTTTTTTTTTACACTGATTGCCTTTACACCCATAAAGGATGTAAACGCAATCATTTCTCCTCTCTGGCTGTATTCTTGCAGCCATTGAGAAATGCTGTGTGAGCTGTGATTGGTCACAGCTTGTCACATGGTACAAGGCTATTGTGAATAGCTTTGTACCATGTGACCTCTGATCATTCACAGATTTCACATGTAGTAAGCAATGATGTCAGAAGTGACATCTTGCTTACTACTCTGCATGTGATCACTGATTGGCCAATCAGTGATCACATGATCGGGACTTCACACAAAGGTCCCGTATGACGATTGGTGTTTCACTGTTTCCGGAGGATTGTGGAGGATCGGATCGTGTTGCTGCGTGCTCACAGGGAGCGCAGCTTGGAACACAGCTTGAAAATGCGGGTGCCGTTTATGAACGGCAACCCGCACCTGGACTGCCACCGTCCTGCCGTTTATAAACAGCAGCCGGATGGGAAGTGGTTAAAAGGTGACATGAGATTATTAGCTCAGGTAGCGAGGTAATTATTATACAGGATTTATATAGCGCCAACAGTTTGCTCAGTGCTTTACAATATAACGGGAACAATACAGTTCAATACAAGAGGGTTATGAGGGCCCTGCTCCTTGGGAGCTTACAAACTAAGACACAGTGTAATGATTACAGGTTGTCAGGAATTCAGGATTTCTGTTGCAGAGTCACATGGTGGTCCTTGGTGTTAGGCGTGCAGTGTTTACGTTACAGGGTGTTTAACTAGTTGCAGACTTTGGGCATGCTACACAGACCCACCCAAAAGAAACCCTGCATTATACACAGGGCATGTGTAGCACGTCCAAACTCTTTGCCCTGTTTCTGCCCCCCACCAGTGTATACCATAATTGTCGGCTGTGATTAATCATAGCTGGCATTACAGTATACTCAGAGGAGAAGTTGACAGCTCTAGCTGTCAAAAAAGAAGTCTGTTAATAAACAACACTGCTCCAGACCAGGTTTATACAAAGATACATTCTGTTACATTTGTAACCTTCTGTTCCTTCATCTGCTAAGCAAAGG